TAAAGGTGGGGAGAATTTATAAATTCCGTTTCACAATAAATGTTATTTTTAGTGAGTACCTATGTTCAAGTTGATATCCATTTTATTTATTTTTTTTTTTTTTACTTTTCACACACACACACACACACACACATATATATATATAACACAAGTATAGTCTGATGATCATTTATGGTGTGAAACTGACAGTAACCATGGGCACTCGATTTCTCACTTTTGCATTGTTAATTAATGTGAACAATAATTTATATCTTAGTCAATTTCATGCCACTTCTAAGATGAAGTAAGTTTTGTGTCTTACTAGAATTCCCAAGTTTCTAATTTTTAGCCTGGTTACTGACAAACTTTAAGAAACGTAATTAAAAATTACAGGTGTAGGACAGGTGAAAAAAATTTACAATAACGTTGCACTGATTAACGGAGTAATAATTAGTAGTATTAACATTTACCAATTACTCAGTTTTCATAATTGTTCCTTAATTTTGGCTTTTGCCAACCTTCGAGGGAGTTATTAAATTACAGATTATCAACATATTAATTATAAAAACAATCTTTTCAGCAAAAACTTGAAAATGTTACTGTAGCAATGACTGCCAAAATCAACATTCACGTAAAATGTATGCCCAATGTTCTGAAACTAATTTTAGAGTTCATTCATCCGTTGATTTTGGGGGCTGTTGTATTTCTTTTGAAATGGCACACATCATCCAGAATAGCATTTCAATGTTCATCTTTGTTGGTAAATAAATCTGTCTTCAGAGAGTTCTACAAAGTTTCAATCTGGTTAAGATTGAACAACCAAGCCAACAACTTGTTTTTGAAATCTATTTTTTTTTTCAGCCTGTAGACCATTGAGGGTAGCACAGCATTTGTTTGAAAAGAATAGTTGGTTAAAAAAAAAAAAAAAGTCTACATATATTCAGTTACATTTTTTTTTTTCCCTGATAAGTGCCTTAAATTAAAGGCCTAGTGGTTGGTCTCATGTTTTGCCATCAATTTTAAGACTCAACATCTTGTGCATTTCAATACTTCCTTGTTACTAATACAAGTAAATGTCTCACTGAAAAAACAGCATAATGTGAAAAAGGTCCCAAATTTAATAAAAGACAAAGTTTTATCATCAAAATGTTTGTTTATTAAGAGAAAGGACCAAAGCATTTTTTTGTTATTTTATTAAATTTTTTAATCATTTCTAGTTAAAGTTTTATGTCAATGATCTATGTAATATTTACGATTAGTGTTTTAGCCACCCCACCCAATTTTAAAAGGGTGAAAAACAATTTGGAAATTCTTGCAGGACACCTTGGAGAAAGAAAAGAAAAAAAAATTTTTTTTATAAACTATTACTCATTTCTCAAAAATCTGCTCTGAATCATAAGAGACTGTTGCCTTGAGAAAATATTTTTTTCCAGTGAATAATGAATTTTTTGCAGGAATTGTTTTTATCATTTTAAATTTTAATAATTTATATGTAATTTATATGTAAATCTTAAAATTCTGTATTAATTTCGATATTGTTATTAAGTGAAACTATATTTACTAATCAAAAATTGAAAAGCTTAATACAAAGTATTTTGCACAAAGATTTTTAAAATAATTATTATGTATATAAAATATTACATAACGTGCACTGAAAGTATGGTATACCATGAAAGACATTATTGGAAAATAAGAGCGATGACTATAGTAAATTTAAAGTCAACATTCTTAAAATTAGATTATAGAGAATAATTTCCAACATTTTAAATATTACTGAGTACTCACCTGTCATTTTCTTAAATTGCTTTAATAGATAAAGTCTCTGAAGAACAACAATAAATGTGTTATTCCCTTAGTTGTGCTTGTTAAGTGACTGACAAGTGCATAATCACAGCTACTGTGTTTTAAAAATCCATTTGTTATTTTAAATGTAAAAAAGTAAATATTTTCTTTCAGATCAGATTAATTAAATCAGCTAATATTCCGCAAATAAAGTTTCAAAAAAGTATATTTTTTTTTTAAGGTTTTTTAAAATTGAGAATTAGCTTTTGTTTATAAGTGTGTCAAAAATGGCCAATTTTAATGACTATACTGAAATTGACCAAAAAGTTGAGATTCCAATAATTTCTATTTGAAATACATCAGAGTATTTTGCTTGCTGAAAATAGTAAATTTAATCATTTAGCTTTCAAGTAAAGAAAGTTTCAAGAATGCTTTGCATTTAAAAAAAAATCATTTTAAACCTTAGGTATCGAAAATTAGTGGTGGTACCTTGGCTAACACACACAAGGATGAGAAATGATTGACTAGGAAACTTCACCCAAGTTTCTGAAAGATATGGGGACTATTCCACACATCCAAAGTCAAATTTAAAACTTACATGTTTGATTTTTAAAAGAAATGGTGTTCCAAACGTGCAGAAGAGATCCTGTAAGATAAATACTAAATATGAGACAAGTATTTAATTTACATTGAAAAATTTTTTTTTTTGAAGCAAAATTAAAATGTTTAGAAAAAGAGCAAGCAACACAAAACATTTTAGTCTTAGAATTTAAGATAATATTTCAGTATATTGAGTTAGAATGCTTTGAGAATTATACAGACTATTAAAAAGAAAATTTATTTTTAGAATTATTTTCAAAAATATTTTTCTATATTTGAATAAATCAACTTTTAACCAGAAATAAATATTCCAATCAACCTTGTGAAAATGAGCAACCGGAATCATCATTTCATCTTCAGCTAGGGTAACTTCATCTTTTGGAATCTCTTCAATTCGATATGTTTTTGCTGTTGCTGATGTATTTGTGAGATTCTCCAGCAATGTCTCTTCTTTCTGAATGGCATGAATCTTGTAACTGATGATTTCTAACAACCTGCAAAGATATGAACATTAATTTATCATCAAAACACAAGAGAAGCACCATAAACTATATCCCAAAGAAAATGTATTAAAAATAAAAAAAAAAATAAAAAAATCAAGCAGTTTTTTAAAACAGTGATGTTCACTGTACAAGGCCCGGGAGCCACTCGAGGTAGAGGGTTATAGGGTAAGAAACAGCTTATGGGGATATGTGAGGAAGGTAACTGATAACCCTTGACTTGAACAGGTTAAGACTGTAGTGATTGAAAAACTATCCTCTTGGGAGTTAGGTCCACAGAGCAGCGGTTCATTAGAAGAAGCTGCTCTAGTGGAACTTACATCTCACCAATGGAATATGAAGGGTATGAGGATGGTTTGCTACAATGTGCATAGTACGACAGGTCTTGGCCATGAAGGTTAGAACTGGTGGAACTAAGGAACGTAGTTAGCTTGAACACATTTCATGTAAATAGCAATAGAGCAGTGAGAGGCTTGCAACATTTTGTCTGTGTAGAGTGGAAAATAATTTACTACACAGAAACGCTTTTGGATTATTGAGACTGGAAAGTGAAGACTAGGCAGGAAGGAGTACTTCATTTTTGGCCTGATCTGGCTCTTGTAAATATAGTGGATAGCATGAGGAGTTAGGTACTTACTCTGGAACAAATACAGTGAACCAACCATTTTTCCAGCATCTTTAGTGATGAATCACATGTACAAGTATCACTTGAGATCTGGATTGAGTTTAAGTCCCAATAGGCAATGATGGAATGAATGTAACTAGTTTGGTTTTCAAGCCATTGAATGTAACCAGCCAGTTTTCCCCTAATGAAATGTTAGAGCTAGATTGAAGGAGATATCAGCTGCCAATCTCTGGGGAGTTTTGGAGGTGCACCCATATATTGTTACAGCAATCAGAGTGGCCCATGACATCAGAGGTTGCACAGATAGCAATCTTGCTAATTTGACAAAAAGGAAAGCATGGATGTAGTAGTAGTAGTATCATTGAATTTCTGCATGCAGAAAACAATTGTTGTCATTGATATCAATATTTGCTAAACATTTTATAGACTAAACTGAACGTGAGCACAGTTGGGCAATGCATTTTAGCAGTGGCAACAGTGATGTGGGCGATAAGTAACAATCTGAGTGTCTCTGTACAGCCGACAACCAACAAAATGAAGAGGACCTAAAAAAAATACATAGACAAGAATGGTAATGATGTGGAAAAATGTTTTGCAGTTGAAAATACATTCTATTGAACAATATTCTCTTTACATAGTGCACTTTCTGTGGAAATAATTAGGAGGTTTTACTTTTATAGCATCACATGCTGTAATTTATTCAGGCAGCCAATTAGGTGAAAAGAATGAAATTCAAGTATATAAATAAACATGTTAAATTAACTTCAGATTCAGCCTGAATAGAAAAATTAGCAAGTTTTTTTTTTCTGTATCTGTCTATATTTCTGAAATGAGGTATTATGTACATTATTTGCATTATTTGGCCTATTGCCCTCATCTTTGTTGCCATATTTATTACAACGTTTCAGCCATTGTACGCTCAGGCCTTCTTCAGGTGGTTGGAATGTCGAACTGAACCCTTTATTTTGCTCACTGGGGTAGACTGTTCTAGTTCCACATACCATGTTTAATGGATGTCAGTTATCAGTTATCGCCTGTTAATTTTCCCTCTGAAAGTTCTCTACTGCCTTAACTGGGTATTGAACTCACACTCTTTGGGTGCTGACACTGGATCTAACCAATGCCTTTATCCACTGTGCCATGTGTCCTTCAGAAAAAGGCTATTTCATCCAAAGCAAGGCAATGAAGCCACTAAAACAAGGGTTACGGATAGAGAGAGAGAGAGAGAGAAAAAAGAAAAGAAAGAATAAAAGAACAGGAATTAAGACAGAAGATAATGATTGGCATTGCATTTACATTTTTGAAGATCAATCTTGACTGGAAAGCAAGAAACTGGAAAGAGGACAATGGTTTAGTGATAAGTATTTCTAATTAACCCATAGATGAGGGAGAAAACATGATTCATACATTTTCCCAAGGATATTTTCATGTAAGTGAATGTAACAAACTCAATGAGAATTGGAACGCTGCTCTGATTAACAAATCCAGGTCATTATACCACTTGTACAGCCAAGCTTACCACACATGATATTCCTAAGTGGTCACCCATCTAGGTACTGACCAGGCTTGATGTTGCTTAGTTTAAGTGATCATACGGGAACTGGTGTTTCAACATGTAACTGTAGCCCCACTTGATGCGATGAGTATTAAATTCACAAAAATGTCCGCAGCTGAATGTTGAGAAAGAGCCATTTCTATATTTGTCAGATATTTTGTCTAGTATGTTACAGTTCTGAGAAGAGTGATAAAGGAGGGGGTGGGGAAAAAAAAAAAAAAAAAAAAAGATAGGTAATAAAGTGCAGTAAAAAAAGTTGAAAGCACATGAAAGAATCATCTGGCAACTCAAAAGAGAATTCCTTTGCCATTGGAAGACTTCCCCGGATGTAAACACCAAGGCTGTGCATATGTATTCTAGAATCTTCTCGGTAGCAGAATTCATTGCTAATGATAAAAGAAAAAATTAGTTTTGCAAGTGCTAAGATAGAAGATATCAGGAGAGCATTTCAAATTACTCTTAAAACAAAAAACAAACTGGTCTTGAGTGAGGAAGACATACCGCAATCGTTTAGATCCATCTTCAGAATATTCTACTTGTTTTTTTGCTTCTTCCAAAAGATCTGCTACTTTGCCATTTTTATTAGGATATAATACAAGTTCTTTCTGAAAAATCCAAGTTGAAAAAAAAATTTAAAAAATTGTTAAAACTAAAATGCAAAAGATCTATGAAAGGCATAAGTCTAATTCAGTAATGGAGAAATAAGCATTTATGTTTGAATGGATTTGTCCTGAGGTTATTGGAGATACAAAATTTAGCTGTTCAGCCTCTAAAGCAAAATAAATTACAATATTAGATATAAACTGGGGTTCTTGATAATTAAGCATATTTGCAAGTAAATCCAGTAGAACTTCTTTAGTATGTGGAGTTGCAACAAGTCAGAGGTAAAATAATTTTAAATAAAAATAAGCCTCTAAAAGTAGTTAAGATTTCAATATCAAAATTTCAACAGTACTACTAGATACAAAGTAGTGGGTCATAATAAAAGTTCATAGCATTTTAAGTGAATTTAAAAAATATTTAGATATTTGTACATGGATTTATTCAATTACATGCATAGTTTTGTTTTCTTAGAATTTGGCCTCTTTCTGGATGATTAACTGGTCAGAGTGCTTTTTACAAGCTTCCTGAGAATTGATGTTCTTCCAATTGCAAGAATTTTGTAGGTATCAGAATAAGTGTTAATCTGAAGGTTCAAGGTCAAGTGAGCATGACAGATGTAGGCCATCCCAGCCAAGTTGTAACAATTTCTGCAGAGATGCAAGGCCTGGCTCTGCTCTGATGGAAGAAGAAACCCATCCAGTTGGCCAATTCTAGATACTTTTCTTTGATTGCTGCTTTTAGTCAGTTGAATTGGGAACAATAAATACGTGTCAGAGTTCAATGCATAATTTTGAAGGAGGATCTGATCAAATGAACCAGATACACAATATTTCACCACTTTTAGATACATACTTCATTTTTCCTCAGGATTTTTTTTTTTTTTTTTTTTACTCATCTTTATAAATAATCCATTTTTCATTGCCACTGTTCATTCTTTTCAAAACTGGTTGTTATTGCATTTGAGCAGAAAATCATGAGGCACATGAACATTGTAGCAATTCACATATCTAAGCATTTTCAAATGCTTTCTAATGTTTATATGAGATACATAAAGTACCTCTGCAATGTCCTGTGTTGTCTGATTATTTTTTTAAATTGGTATTTCAATTTTGGTCATTTTAACAATTGAAGGTTTGTCATAGAATTTTCCGAGTCCTCTAGATCAAAATTTTTCCTTCTGAACTTTGGAAAGCAGTTTTCATAAATGGCACATATCTTTTTTGTGGCTTATACAGTGTCTCTCCCCAACAAATAAGAGCATCAAATGCATCCCCCCCTTCCATTTTATATAACACAAAAATTCAGTTTGATCATTTGTAAATAACATCACCTTGAGTATCATGAAATCTGTTCGAGCAAATGAGGGAACACTGGAATTAGCCAAAAACAGTTTCGTGTGTGCGTGTTAAATTTAAGTTGTGTGAAACAAAATCATGTTTCGGAGTCACCAATGTAAAAAACACTACCAACTTTTGTTTCAACTCAATATAAAATTATATAAAATTTTCATTCATAACAAAGAAAACTTACCTCCTCTTTCAATTTGCTATTCACCCATATACACTTAATCTGTCGTTTATTTTCCAATTCATTGATTCGTATACTGAGCTGAAATAAAAAAGAAAATTACGAAAATTTATTTTTGTAACCATTTAAACTATACATATACTTTTCAGCAAAAATAAAAATAGATTTTTAATCCCCTTTTAAGTACAGCAATATAAGAATAAAGGATGTAATGAACCAATTGAACACAGAATTTAAATTTACAACTTCTGTACTGCCCATGAGTAGCATAAAAATGGTTAATAACATTCAAATATCAGTTTTCTTTTTTAAATGATGGCAAACACAGATTTTGATAAATCTTCACATTATAATAAATTAGAGAGGAAAAAAAATTTACCTGTTGGTAATATAATTTTTTTGGTTGCCTTGGTTTTATATAGAATATCAGATCTTTCAATGTTCCATCAAAAGTACACCGAATTGGATTACCAGGTCCATCTCTATATCTGAAAAATTGTTTATTTATAATAGCTGTTTGTTGCAGAACATTACAATGATAAACAAATTAGAACGAATCTCAACAAAATTAGAACGAATCACACCAAACTTCCAGTTGCATTTTAATATAGCCCAAATCAAATACAAAATAGCGCAGGTTACCTCCCTTTGATACCATATATTTTAAAAAGTTCAAACCATCATAGGATATTGTTTGATTTACTCCAGAAATAATTTTTACTTTATTTTCAAGGAAAAGTAATTATCTCAATACTCAATCAGAAATAAGCCTCATGATTTCACCCCAAATCATTAATAATGCCTGCAATGAGGATATAAACTTTAAAAAAGTTGAGAAAATAGTTTTACCCTTGTGTTTTAAAGAATTGCAGCAAATAAGGATCAGTGCCCAAATGTGCAGCCACAGCATTTGCCATCTGATCGTAGTTCATGCGTAAGGATAACTCCAAGGTGAATCCGGGATCATTTGGAATAGTTTTATCACAGAAGTTTACTTCTACGCGGTAGAAGAGGTCCTTTAAGCAAAAAATAAAATAAAAATTATATATATATATATATATATATATATATATATATATATATATATAGAGAGAGAGAGAGAAGAAAAAGTAGCTGTATCATCCTTAATGAGGACATGCATTTTCAATTCTTTAAATTAATAAATCTTTCAAGATAGAAAATGTGAATAAGGAAATACCAGAATGAAATTTAAGTTTTATTGCTTATAATTAAAATCAAAATATTTCAACTCTTATTTTTAAATGTCATTAACGTAGCACAATGTAAACTATTGGAGATATTGACATTCTAAAAAGTTTACAATTTCATACAGTGATCATTTTGACCATCAAATTCCATTCTACCTGAAATAGTCTTTGGCTGTGGCGAGTTCATAATTTTCTAAATCTGGTTCATCCCTTTGAAAGACAAAGATATCACCATCCATAAGTTCCTCCATCTTCTCAAAATATTGATCCACATCAATTCTTTCCATAAGATTAGGTTTAATTTCCTAGAGAGAGAGAAAACAATTTCAACATTGTCCAAATGAAAATTTGTATATTTAGGCAGTATTTTTTCATTTTATATGTATTATTAATTCTTACAATTTTTTTTTTTTTTTTTTTAAATGTAGCTTCTATGGTCTTCATACAAGATAATGAAGGGTTGATTCAACACTATGGAAATTGTCCTCTTTGTCAGCCCTAGCACTTTTGACTATTTCTTGACCCTCCTCAGGAACAAAATATGTATATCTAATATGAATTTGGAAAATGTTCCTGCTAGAAAATTTAACAAATTTTGGGGATTTTAATTATTGACAATTTCTGGAAGGAGTTATTTACATTCAGACTAATGTAATCTTTATTATTACAGCATTTTCATGTTATTCTAGGTAACTTTCATAAAATTTCCAAATTAAGTCTTCATTTAATCTACATGGGTAGATTTTTATGACAGCAGCAGTAGTAAGAAAAGGGGAAGCAGAGGAGTAGTAGGAGGTCAAATATAACAGCAGCAGCAGAAGTGGCAGCAAGTGGGCAGGCAATAGCTGAGTGGATTAAAACATTGGTTCATGAATTTAGTGGCATAATTGCAAGTTCAACTCCGGGGCTGTGTAGTACAAACTATGGAGAATGAGAACAATCAGCTTCTTTAAATTAAATAAAGGGTTCATTTAGAAATTTTCTGAGATTGACAAACACCTGAAGAAGGCTGGAAGGCACAATTACTGAAATGTAATAATGACAAGAATGAAGACATTAGTTTGAATGTGAATTACTGACAATATTCAAAATACTTCTGAGATTAAAGGATAAATTTAATATTTCTTAAAATCCCCAGTGCTTCATGAATTAGGAGTGTTTGCAGTTAATATTGTATAAAATGAATGTTATCGATCTTATATTGGTAGGTATATTGTTTAAAATGTGATCACATTTCCGTAGTATTTAGTTTAGTTGTTGCAATCTTTTGTTCCTGAGGATAAAATTTATGCACAGTTTCTGTATTGTCCTGAACCATTCCTTCCCTTGTAAAAAATACATATGCTAGACAGAAGACCCTCTATAAATAAGGATTTTAATGACTGAAAATGGATTAAATAAACCTGGTAAATTGTATATTAAGCTTTCTAGATAAAGCTTTTAATGATTTAAAATACTTATATGAAAGATAAATACATTGCTTTCCTTTCATAATTATAGATTAATGAAACCCTAAATTCATAATAAAAAGAAATCATACACAACTTACTTCATAGAGAATCAATGGTGTATGTGGGGGGAAACCAGCTTTCCTGCACAATTCAGGCAATATTTCAGCTATTAAAACAAAAAGATTACATATCATTGATAAAGATTAAAAATAGTATTCAATAAAGACCAAGTTATTGCATCTTAATAATGTAGAAAGCCTTACCAACTC